GTTTTTAAACAAGCCATGACTCAAACTAAACAGTATATCTGCTATAATCTGCAACTTGGAGGAGAAAGAAACCAGTTTAATTTTCCATATCGATGTGACGTGACAACAAAATCGATTAAATACTTTCAGACGACTCAGACAATATGTAGTGTATTAAAGAATGTGTAAGACCTGAGGCCGAATTTAAAGAATTTGAGCCACGGCATACATTTAAGCAACGGCTCAAATGTGGTAGGTTCCACTTAAGATCGTATTTAATGTTTCAAGATTTAAACCGGCGCTCAATTGTAACCGGTATTTGGGGGATTTGAGACGCGGCTAAAATGCATTAAATTCGAACTCTGGATAAAAATACCCCGTCTCTTTTGATAAAAATTATGCTAAAGTTGAATCAAATATTAAATATAAAATCTAAAAAAGAAGGTTTTTAAAGTCATACTTGACATTCAGACGGCTAGAAGTAGCACTAAAAACTCGATAACAATTTCTAAATTATGTTTTTGGCAAGGGTAGATTAAAATAAATGCTCTGCTACTATACATAATTTTAACTATTATTTGCATCAATTATTAGGAATGTTTCGCTTCATTAGATGATAAGTTTTGCTTTGATAGGGCTAGACATTGTTAGTAAATTGTGAATATTTCATAGTTAATTGCAGTTGCGGATCTACTCTGCGTGCATATTGAAACAATTTGTAACCGAGGAGCATAAAAAGCATTGAATTTTGAAAATGTTGAAAATTCACATAATAGTTTCCTATGACCAGAATATTTCATTCATTTTTTATGTCAGATTGTAAATCCGTCTTGTGTTTACATCACCGCCCGGAGACAGTACACTGCAGTACAAAAGATGCGCACACCTCTGAAATAACTGTCTTTGCATTGTAACCTTGATTCTTTGTAACTTAAACTTTACACTAGGTCATACAGACCTTCTAAACTGAAACTGCAATTAAGTTTGATAAAACTTACCGCTGCTGGATTTTTGAAAGTTTTTCTATCTGAGAGCAGAGACATCTGTGAAGTGGCGCGAGAATTAACACTTAGTACAGATGTACACCTGGAGCACTGGAGCAGAGAAGTCGTGGACCGTAACCGGTTAACCGGCCTAGGCAGAGAAACGTTGACTATCAAGAAACTGACAATATTGGGGTCTTAGTAAATGCAGTAAAATTCTAAAGGACTGTAAGTGTAATTTCAAGTACTCTCCATGCAAAAATAGCAATGTCCGATTCACAAAGGTTCTCTTGACAACATTATTTGATCAATAATGTAAAAGATATTGTTGTTTTTTAGTTGTAAAAGTGTTCAGTTCTGATGGCTGCTTTATGGTTTCATTTAGTAAACATGCACAAGTTACTTTTGTAGAAAATCCGCATGTGAAAATAATTGTACATTTTTCTATCATTATAAACAGAATAAATAGAACTGACCTGACAGCCACTATTCCTGATGTCTCCATACCGTTTGAATCTCCCTGTCTGCTCTGCAGAATAGTTTTACCAAATATATCACTTCCGGTCTTAGAGAACCGTTTAAATAACGACCCGTTAGAGGACTGCTTCCTAAACATAAATAGGAATAATAAAAACATTGCTGTTGCTAAATATGGGAATAACACCATTGCTATATAGCTAAATATGATTAGTAAAAACGTTGCTATTGCTTAATATAAATATAGAAAAATTACACCATTGCTATTGCCAAATAGGAATAATAAAAACGTTGCTATTCCTAAAAATATATGAAAAGTAACACCATTGCTATTGCTAAATAGGAATAATAATAACATTGCTATTGCTACATATAGCTTATATTTTAGGAAAATAGAAAAAATAATAACATTTATAATTTTTATGAACAAATATTTGCACTTTAATAAAGAATGATCTTACTTATGATGAGCTTGATTAAGATGACCGGCTAAATCTGCTGGACCGTACATTTCGAATCCTAAATATCAGAGTTGGAAATTAATGAACAAGAAATAAGCTGTTCAACTACTTCTCGGTGTTCATTAATTTCGAACTCAGAGTTATGCCGATTATTTAATTCTTAAACCTCTGCCCTTTTTTTCAAGAAACCGAGAAAACTGTAAATATTATTTAAACAATAAGTGGTGAGAAGACAGATGAGTTAAGAAGAATTGATAAGCTTTAGTTAAAAAATCAAAGCTCATAATTGGCTGGATCGTATATTGCAATTTTGTTTCGATAGAACAAAGTATATTCATAAGAACAAAATTTTCTTTCACACATTTTCTGTTTTTTAATTGGCCAAAATATCAAAATTAAAGCTCTGAACAGAATGACCGTAATTTTTGAAAACTACCAATTACTAAAAAGCGAAATTTTTTATTAAAATACGTATTGCTTATTGATCTATCTATTTTTGGAGGTTTTAGAACACTTCTTCCAAAAGTTACTAGAAGAATTTAAGAAGAAAGGAATGTCTCACCCTTAATGTAAAAAAAAGGCATGCATGAAAATAATCAGTTTTCAAAGAGAAAAAAGTCATGGTTATCTTATTCAATCTTGATCAGCCACAGCTTTTAGGAGTACAGTTGATTATCGGAGATGCCACTCAGGCGCGCAACTAGACTTTTGGGACAAATTTTATTTTTTGGGGGGCTTTTTTCAGTTTGGAGAATTTTGTGTATGGGAAATCTTAAATCTTTTTTTTTAGGTCAAATTTTTTTTATTTAAGGGCACTTTCAAAATATATAAAGGGGCATTTTTTTTAAACTATGGGTTAGTTTTTGATGGGGGCAAAACTTCTTAATTGTTTGAGCATTATCTTAATAGAATAAGGGGAATATTTTTAGATAGGGCTGTAAATTTTAAAGTTAGTTTATTTCTAAAACATTTAGGGATAACAAAATTAAATTTAAGTGCAAATTAAAAATATTTGGTGGCATTCTAAAAAAAAGGGTTACAAATGTTGAATAAAGGGGCAAATTTAAGTCTGGTGGAGCAATTTGAATAAGAATGTGCGAGTGTAATTTAAAAAATCCAAATTTGGAGGCATTTTTTAAAGAAAGGAGGATTTTATTTATAACATATATTGAAAAAAGTTATAGTTAATTTGAGTTTGCTTAAAGAGTGTAAGTTTAAAACAAAAATTACTGTGGGGCATAATTAGATATTTTTTGAACTATATGGACCCCTATTCAGGACTTCTTAAGGGCCCCCCCTTAATCAGGTTAGGGGGTATCTGACCCCCATGCCCCCCCCCTAGTTGCGCGCCTGACCACTTTATAGAAAGTCACATAAGATAACGAGAACAGTCCTTTTTACCTGTTGTATAATGCGGATCTCTTCCTTCACTGAGTGCCAGAACAGTCTCGCACTTACGAATCGGACTGTAGGTGTAATTAGGATCCTAGATATACAACACGTTAGAATCGGACTGTAGGTAAAATTAGGATTTATACAACATGATACACTAAAGCTTACGAATTGGTGCGTATGTGTAATTAGAATTATAAAATCATGTTTAACTAAAGCTTACGAATCGGACCGTCGGTATAATTAGGATCTTATATGTAAACAACATATTAAACTAAAGCTTACGAATCGGACTGTGGGTGTAATAAGGATTCTATATATATACAAGTTAAACTAAAGCTTACGAATCGGACTGTATGTGTAATTAGAATTCTATAATCATGTTTTACTAAAGCTTACGATTCGGACCGTCGGTATAATTAGGATCTTATATATAAACAACATATTAAACTAAAGCTTACGAATCGGACTGTGGGTGTAATAAGGATTCTATATATATACAACAAGTTAAACTAAAGCTTTCGAATCGGACTGTAGGTGTAATTCAAATTCTATAATCATGTTTTACTAAAGCTTACGAATCGAACCGTCGGAATAATTAGGATCTTTGCGTATACAAGATGTTAAACTAAAGCTTACGAATCGGACTAAGGGTGTAATTATGAATTCTAAATATAACACGTTTAACTATCAGATATGAATTATTATCCATTTACCATTATTTTGTTTCAAATAAAATTTTAATTAAGATTCAGTTATTATAAAATAATACCCCATAATCAGGGGCGTATACAGCGGGATTAGATTTGAGGACATAGCCCCCGAATCCGGATAAGTGAACACCATGGTTCTCAGGGGGTATTCTTCAGTCCCTGACAATATTCATGGTTACTTCAAAAAAAAAGACTCAAAGAAGCTTAAACCATATGAAAACATGTCTAAAATATTTTCTTGATGATACTAAAAGGAACAGGAATTAAATACTGGTCTCAAACTATTATTTTCGAATTCTTATATCTGTAAAGCCTGATATTTCAAACTATGAATTCCGTTAGTCAATGTTTGATATATCAAAGATTTTCACAATCGGGTTTCAAAGATACTAGAAAAATAGAAAGTTATAATTTGAGACAACATATAGACAAAGAAACAAGCTCACAAAAGCAGTTCTTTTAAGCCTCTCCTTGTCAGCTGATTTTTTAAAAATTTACTAAAGCGCCAATTAGAAGAGACCAATCTGGGCATTTGAGCATTCTTTAGGTATTATTTGCTACAAATACGCAAACAATATTTAATCACCTTGGAAGTAGTTAATCTGTCCATAAGGCTGCGAGTGCTGAAGTTTCTTCTAATCTCGGTATTTTTGGCATGCGACATTTTCGTCCTAAAAACATAAATATAAATTATCCAAAAATAAAATATCTAAATGTATGTTATTCTTGGATAATTTTGACGTTTGCAATAAATACCTAAATACAAAATTGGCAACTTTTTATTGTACATTAAAGTATGATTCTATATATTTATTAATTCTATAGCGGATAGTTTATCTTTTCAATCATTTATTTATTATGTGTGTGCGTATTTCTGGCATAACTCTTGAACCGATTTGCCACACATTTTGATCTGGCAACTCAGTAGAACCCGCGGGAATGCTTTTAGCTTGGTTTAAAAATTGGAAGTTAACAATTTGATTTTTATAGACGAAGTTTGGATTCCAGTTAAAGCTGAGTTCCCAAGCTAGTCATTTTATATTTTAAGATTTAAAAATGCAAAAAAGATTGGAATTTTCAGAAATTGTTTAACATAAAAGCATTAAACAGGATGAAAGGGGAAGAGAATGACTGCAAAAAAATCAAACTGTTGCATCTGGAAAAAGTTTTAAAAAATTTATTAATCTTATTTGCAACAAAACTCTTAGCTTTAGTTCATAATTTCATGAATATATAATAGATGGATATATCATAGACAAGCTTAGATTTAATTTTCCGGCTGGGGTGTCATGCAGTACATTAGACACTGGACCCTGGACTTAAAATTTGTCTTTGGTTTTCGTAAAGTAAATAGTTGTCAATGAAGTTTAGAAAACATTATAAATCTTAAAACCTTGGTAAACTTTAGCCTCCTTCTTTGTATTAACGAAACAGATGGAGATACTGATGATTTTAACAACCTTGGTAGTATTTAATAATTTAAATTTTAGACAAATATCTCAATATTTTAGTTAATTCTACAAAATGGCAGACCACTTTTGGAAATCCCAAAACAAGGAGCATTTGATGCATTTGAGACTTGAGAGGCAATGTCATGTTTAAACGATATCATTTATGGTATCTCGGTTTTTTATATTCCAGGGCCCACAACTTTCTAATATTCTATTTTGGACCCTGAACTTCCCTTCTAATATTTTTTTTTAAGGAACTAGTACTTTTTCAAGAATGAACGATAAAATGACAATTTGTCAGAGTGAACCTTCAGTACACCATACAAAGATTTAAAAATTTAACCAAAAATCTCGGGTCCACTTAGCTATATCAGCTGTGAACCCCATCCAAAAGTATTACATTTACGCCGCTGGTCCAGAAGTGTTCTGATATGTAGATAGAATCGTATGTACGCCGCTGGTCCAGAAGTGTTCTGATAGGTAGATAGAATCGTATGTACGCCGCTGGTCCAGAAGTGTTCTGATAGGTAGATAGAATCGTATGTACGCCGCTGGTCCAGAAGTGTTCTGATAGGTAGATAGAATCGTATGTACGCCGCTGGTCCAGAAGTGTTCTGATAGGTAGATAGAATCGTATGTACGCCGCTGGTCCAGAAGTGTTCTGATAGGTAGATAGAATCGTATGCTCTCTTCTATTCTCAGTATAAATTGATGATTAAAAATAAAAACCAGATTTCTTGGCATTCCTGCATACTCATTCTAAGAATTAGCATTTCATTTGCAACTGTAAAGTAGCGCAAAAAACTGATTACTTAAACTTGACCTTACCTCAATATCTTTGTCACCTGATGTCGCAAACAGTTTGAATAAACTGTTTACACAATCAGGTTGCAAAGATCTAAAGATTAACACAATAGAGTTTTGGCAGGGTATCAGTCCGAGTCCCTTTACTAAATTTTGTGAGGCATTGCTTAGAAATTCAGTTGCAAAATTATCAATGCATTTTGATTTTTAAATTTCAATTTTCTATGTTAATTTTTTTTTATAATTTCCAACTTCCTTCCGACAAAAAGCTTAACATGTACTGAACATGTACTGAACATGTACTTAGCATGTACTTAGCATGTACTTAACATGTACTAAACATGTACTTAACATGTACTTAACATGTACTGAACATGTACTGAACATGTACTGAACATGTACTTAGCATGTACTTAACATGTACTGAACCAAAATTAATAATTGTAGGTCGTTAGTTCATAGAGTTTAAACTATGCATAAAAAAATTTAAAAACAAATTTTAATCTTTGGTTTAAATTTTAAAAATAAAACATTTTATTTACTTCATAAAACCTTTTAAATATACAGTATCCACCCCTGGATAAAGTTACCGGTGTCTAATGGCGTCTACTAAAAATATAAATGGATTGCTCATGCAATAACACCGTGATCTAAACAGGTGTGAACATTATGCACTAACTAGTGAGACATGAACCAAATGTGAACCCTAGAGGTTCTGACCCGACTGTACATATTTAATTGGAGATCATGATTCCTCAAAGAATTGATAAAGTCTATATTAAAGGGACACGCAATTTCCAGAACCTTTAATTAAAATTAGACCTCTTACGAATTTATTTGCCGGAAAATTGAGAATAAAATTATTTGACTCTTTTTAAAAATGGCGTCTTATTATTACGTTAACAGTCCCTTTAATATTAACGAAGTAAAAAAAAAAAAAAACACTATATGCATATATATAATATAGCTTTTAGCTCATATATATACATTTGTTAATATGTGGATTTATATGTTAGCTATAGCTAGCCGAACGGTTGGACCGAAATTGTTTGAGGGAACCCTTGAGTACCCCGAGGGTAACATAGGCCAAAAAATGACATTTTTTTCAATTAAAAAAATCCACGGGCAACGCCGGGCTCTTCAGCTAGTATTTTATAAATATATGTATGTGTGTTTTCTCATGAAGTCGAGTACATAGTAAGTTTTGTACTGAAAAATCAGTGTTTTCTTTAAATAAGCGTGTTGTGTAATATGTATTACTGTAATCAAATTGATTTTATTTTTCTCAAAACGATTTGAAATTTTTTAATTTTCTTCTTTAAAAATTATTGTTTTAAATTTGATCTGATAACCTTGAAAAAGTAACGATTTCCCTAGTTTCAGGGTTAAACATTTTCTTAAAATTCCAACGTCACCCAAACCCAACCCAGCTGGCAAATACAGGATGTCCTTTTGAACATAACAATTTAAAAGAAGACCTTTTGTGGCATGTTTTTTTTTCAATATTAAAATTAAGTCGTTGTCAACAAATAATATATTGTAAGACACACTGCATTTGATAAATTGAGTTTTTATGAGAATTTGAGAAATTTTCTTGAAAACCTTTAAACAATAGAAATATTGCGAATTCTGAGTGTGGAATTAATAAGTACCAAGAAGTAGTTGAACTTGGCATGGATAGTATAACTAGAGACACCTTTATGTTCTATATGTTAGCTATAAACGTAAAAACGTTGAAATATAAAGCTAAGAAATACATAATGTTAAAAATTGTAAAATGTAAAATAGATCATCAAAATCAAGCTAAGACAACTGTTTTTAATCACAAAGTTAGTAAAATTGTCTATTTTTCCGACCTAGACCTATCTAGACGCTTACTTTTTCTGTACAGAAGGTAGAACAAGGCTTCGGAGGCTGGTAAACTCCTGGTTTACGTCCTGGGTAGAGGTTCGGGTCAACCACAGCGCCACCTAGACATAGTTTACTAATATGCGCCACCTAGACATTGTTTACTAATATGCGCTACCTAGACATGGTTTACTAATATGCGCCACCTAGACATACTTTACTAATATGCGCCACCTAGACATGGTTTAATAATTTGCGCCACCTAGACATGGTTTACTAATATGCGCCACCTAGACATTTTTTACTGATAGGTGCCACCTAGACATATTTTATTAAGCTCGCCACCTAGAAAAAGTAAAATAATATGTGCCACCTAGATATAGTTTACTTATAGGCGCCATCTAGGTATGGTTTATTTATAGGCGCCACCTATATATTCTGTTTACTAACAGGCGCCACCTAGACGTAGATTACAAATAATAGGCGCCACCTAGATATATCTTACTAATCGCAACTAGACAAAGTTTGAAATACTAGGCGCCACACAGATAAATTTTTCTAATGTGCGTCACATAGACAATGTTTACTAATGCCAGGCGCCAGATGAATATTGCGCCACCTATACATAGTATAAAAATACTATGCGCCACCATAATATATTTTACTAATTTGCGCCACTTAGATACATTTTATTAATATGGGCCATCTAGACATAGTTTAAAAATACTATGCCTCACCTAGATATATTTTACTAATATGCACTACCTTTAAACATTTTACTAATACCCGCCACCTAGACAAAGTTTACTAATATTAGGCGCCGGCGCCACCTAGATATATTTTAATTATTTCTGCCATCCTAGAAATACTTTCCTAATATGTGCCACCTAAATACACTTTGCTAATAGGCGCCACCTATGTATAGTATGTTTACTAATAGGCATCACCTAGATAAAGTAAATTAATTAGCGCCACCTAAATATGGTTTACTAATAAGCGCCACCTAAATATGGTTTACTAATAAGCGCCACCTAGATATGGTTTACTAATAAGCGCCACCCAGACATAGTTTACTTACCAAGACAAAGTTTGGTAATAGGCGCCACTATAAAATAGTTAACAAAATGGCGCCGCTTAGACATAATTTACTAATAAGCGCTACCTATGTACAACACCACCTGCATTCAGGAGTAAATATAGTTTACTAATACTGTCAACCACACTACCATCTAAACAATATGTCTACACAAATTTCACAGAAATGACATTTAATCTTAGATTATTGTGGTCAATTTCGAAAATTTATTTTGGCTGCTCTTGGTACAATACTTCAGACTAAATCTAATTAAAGGAGTAAATATAAGAAAACCTTTTTCTCAAGTTGATTTTTTATCGTTTTTTCTTTTCTAGAACTTACAATCCTTACATACATTCTAAAAAGATAATTTTTAGACAATTTGTCTTTTAAGTTCTGCATTTTCCCTGTGAAGAATTGTAAAAAATGTCGAGAGTTCTTTTTACCTGTTGTCTGGCTGTTAGGGGTTCTGTTTTCGTAAACTGGGTTTGATATCCTGAAAATATAATTATTATAATTATAATAATTAATTCTGCAGGAAAAAAGGATCTAGATGATTTGTCATAACAAAATTATTAGAAATGTTTGTTTACAGTACACAACAGTATTCTAAATCAATCAATTACAAAACAAGACGCCTAGTATATCTGTAAAAAGAGAATAAAAAGGGATGGAAATAAATTCAGTTGAAATGCAATAACTTGAATGAAGAATCTAGGTTAAATAAATTCAGCTTAAGAATAAAATATATATAAATAATTCATAAAGAATTTAATTAAATTTAAACAACTAAAAATCCACAAGTTGTTTATTAGAAAATCCATTAAATCGGATTGTTAGTTTTAAGATGAGAGAAAATTCTCAAATCATCGTTTGTTTGTTTAATTTTTAAAATGTACAGACATAAAAAGTTTTTGAATTTCTTAAATTGCAATAATGTCACTTAGTTCTTTAATCTTTAATTTTCGAGAAGATTAGAGTTGCGCCTCTGTAAGGGGGGCATGCCCCACACCTGCAGAATGAAAAGAAAGAAAGAATGGCCAACCAATTAAAACAACATACTCTGGTTAGGCGGGTCCAAACTACATAGTAAATTGTGATTTTTTTATTTGTATTATCTCGTGCTTTGTAGTTGAATAAAATTATGAAAAAAATATGAATGGCGAAAATCAGTATCACAGGAATAAAAAAAACCAATAGAGTTATTGTAGAAATTTTATCATACTATAGTTAGTTTAAAAAAAAATATTTTTATCTTTCTCAATTCTCAAGGCTAAAGGCTATTGTAAACATTTAATGTAAAAAAAAGTTCTGAACTGTAATTTATTTGTGTTGAGTTTATAGAGAACAATTTGTCTCTTGGATACTGTTATAATGCAGCTAGAAGAGAGATTTGCTCCAATAACATCAAAGGCCATGGGTTTGCTTTATTTGTTACCAGAGAAAATAGCTTCTCATACCCTGGCGGATCTCAAGAGTAAACTTTCAGAGAGTTTAGAGTTTTATCAGTCTTTACTTCCAAATCTTTTACTCCTCTGTACCTAACTTCTAGACTATCTAATATAGCAAGAATTCATATTCATGGAGACAAAGCACAGTGTCTGCCAAGAGATAAAATTGTCAAGGTCTTTGTAAATATGCATCCACGAGCCCTAGAATATTCCATTGTTGAAGGACAGATATTTTTGAATTGTTCTTTTTTAATAATCAGATATTTTTTTAAGTAAATTTTAATTCTCCTTAAAGGAATTGAAATTTTCCCAGAAACTCTGATATTTTAATCCCTTTAATTTTATCTTTGCAACCCAATGTCCTAGATATCAAACTTTGAATTCTTTTGGTAAAATATTCCAAGTTTGAAATATCAAACACCACTCGGTGCAAAGATTTAGGGATTAGAATATTTGAGTTTGTGGCAAAAACTCAGTTCCAAATCTAGAGAAAATTCTGAACCTGGCAAATTTCTAACTGATTATCATATTTGATAACTAACAAGATTTATCTTCTTTGACAGAAGTTCTATAAAATCGAAAATGAATTTAGATTATGAATGTTGGTTAGATCAATCATTAATTCAATAACTTCAAGAGAAAAGGTAACATTATCTGTCCTTTTTCAATGTAGATGATTGAATTTATTATTTACCTAGGTATTTTCAAGGATGTAAGGCAAGGAAAGTTATTTCAGAAGTGTACACATATTTAGTACTGCAGTGTACTGTCTCTGGGCGCTGTAACCACAAGACGGATGTCGATGCCTGATATTATGTGAATTATCCAAATTATCAAAATTTAATGCTTTTAACCTCCTCGGATACTAAACGAACACTGATGCATCTATTATTGTTTACAAATTCCGCCCAAAGAGAACTGGTTTCAATATGTACGCAGAGTATTCACGACCGCAATTGACTTTCCTTGCCTTACATTCTTTGGTATTTTTATGCTTTTTTCCCCAGAAACTATAAATGATTATTTCTTGTAATTTAAGCTGTAAGTAAACCAGGTACTTAAAAAATAATCTTTTGCGATTCGCACACATATTTAATGAATTGACTCATATCATTCATTTTACAGCTGTTGGAAGTATAAATTTTGTAAAAACACTCGCGCCTGAGAGCCTCCCCCCCCCCAAGGACAAAATTCTGTATTCACCCTGAAACTAGACCAAAACAGAAAGTAATCAGGGGTGTAAATGCCTCGTCATGGCCTTGATTAAAAACTGTTAAACTGCTTGCGTAAAACTTATTTACAACCTTTATTTAACTCTGAAGCTAGGATGATAACAGTATGAGTGTATATACTAAACTAACCCAATATATATATATATATATTTGCCTGCTATATCAATTTCAACTCTGAAAACTGTGTTTTTTTCACAAAAAGTATTAAAAATGAAAGATACAAAGGGAAAGATACAAAATTAAGTTAAAATGCCAAATTTTCTTTTTCTTAGTAATTGAAAATACTATTTTTATTAAAAATATACAGGGTGTTCCAAAAAACATGGGAATTCAGTGACGAATTCGATATCGTCTTTGTTATAAATTAGCATTGTAGTACCTGATCTCAAAAGCCTATAGCATAATTATGTCTGCTAGAGTTTATTTTATGAAAACGGTAAATGGCTGCAATTCCTGTAATAATCTGTCTATAATGTCTCCGCAAGATTAACAGTGAAGACGGACAAGTTCACTGTTTGTATACTTTAATTTTCTTGTTGTACTAAGTACAACCGTCTAATTTACTTCTGTTTTTTTTTTGTAAAATAAATGTTAAAAGTTCATTATCTGAATAACGCAGATTACTGATTACTTATATAAATCAATATTCGGTTGCATTTAATGCATTTATTTGATAAAATTATAAACCTACAGTTTGTGCATTACAGTTGTTATTTTCCCAAACTGCAATTAACCCCCCCCCCTCACTTCGGAAACGAAGCAAATTATGTTTTTTTAATCATAATCAAGGTAAATGAAACAAGTTTATAGAAATCCATATAAAAGCAAAATTTATTAAATTGAGAAAAAAATCCAATTTTATCGTAATTTCACATTAAAATTCTTTAAATGTTCATCGTAGTTAACTTATAAGATATTTTTTATGGAAAAGTAGGGGCAGGGGCTTTTATTATTTTTATTATCATTATTTTTTTTTCAAATGAAATTAACACCCCTGACTGTGATATAACAAACTTTATCAAAAGATAACAGAGCTGGGAACTTTAGAATTTTGGATATCGAGATCAATGCTTGATCCTTTCTTTTTCTTAATCTCGTGACTAACCTAATCTTGTACTTGTATCATGAAAAGTGTATAAGATTCAACCTATCAGAATCGCGTATCCGGGAAATTTGAAATTTTGCGCGCCATTTAAGATTCATAAACAGAAACGGGAGGGACTCACTAATTTTGAAAAAACGGTTTTTGTTATTTCTGTACAATATCCCAAAAAAAATGGAATAAGCAAGAAATTAAAAGTGTCCACATTGGATATTCGGATTAAGCAGTCTTTGCCGCAAACTAAAATGTTCTAATTCCTATATATTTTCAACCTGATGGTAGAAACTTTAATATTTCAAACTTAGATTTTTTATCCAACAAAATTCATAGTTTAAAATATCTAAGGTCTATGAAAATCGGGTTGCAAAGTTATAGGAAATAGAAACTCAGGGTTTGTGAAAAAAACTAAATTCATTTTGAAATTAAAAACACAACTTGGCCATTAAAAGATGAGGGTTGGCATGATTGCAAACTGCAGAATAACCTTAGCGTTTTTGCCAGAAACTCTGAAACTTTAGTTTTTGATTACTCCAAGGACTCAAAAAGAGGTAAAGTAGGAGTTACAGTGAGTGGTGAACAAAAAAAAACTGCATTAGAAGTTTCTTGTTTTCCTCTACTAGTAGAATAAGACAGATTTAATGCGTTTATAAAAGTTTTTTGTACTTTAAATTCCCCAAAACGAGTTATTTACCCAGCCACCAAAATTGCTTAAGAAAGGGGACCCCCCTTAAAGTTTCGTACAAGGTTTCATTTTAATGGTAAAACTAACTCCAAGGAAGAGTTCTATCGTCTTTAGTGGTTTAGTGGTTTCATTAACATTTTCTGCTTATTTTCCAATTTGAGTAAAGAAAATCATACAAGTTTAAAGTTAGTGTACAGGGCTTTATTGTATAAATGTGTGTGTATTGAGTATCTTCTAAATTGTAAACATGTGTACATGTCAGAAAATTATTTTAAACTCTAGTTATTATATTTAATGTATAAACTATTTTGCATGAGATAAATTCGCACCCTGATCTCTAATAGTTCTCCTTAAATCTATTTAATTGAAATGTTTTGTTATCATTATTGAAATTATGTGGAAAAAATAATCAAAACAGCCAACCTAATTGCGTTATACTTGTACTGTTAATATAATCGTTCTGTACACAGGTACATGTATTTTAGCAATAAACTTTATCTTAATTTATCTTATCTTCTCTTATCTTATCTAACCCTTTCAAAAAAATGCCCTCCCCCCCCCCACAAGAACGAAAAAGACCGAGAAGAAATGCTCATAAACTTCGAGTTGGACAATTCTTTTGTAAATAATTTAGATTAATTCTTATCTTTCACGACTTAAACTATTTTATAAAAAGGAAAAAAAAGGTGAGAAGATAAAAATTAGCAAATAGTAACATTTTCAACTTATATACAGTTTGTACTATCCAATGATAAAAATAATTGAACATACGATGGCCGGAGATTAGAACTTTTGAATTGTTAATCGCTTCAGAAACCATTAATCCTCTATAAAGATAAGTTACATTTTTAAGGATATCTCTGAATTTCTCAAAATAAGGCTATAAGGACTAGGATTATTTCATCAAAAAGTTTCAACCCCAGGATAGATGGGTGAACATTTATGATTAGATATAAATGAGTTAACTAACCTCCAGGTTTACTACTAACTGCAGTATTTGTTGTACTCTCAGTATAGGTTTCACTTGTATCATCACTTTCCTAAATTTATATAGCTGATGAATCGGAGGCATAGGTCGGAGGGAGGGATCTAGAGAATTAGTATAATCAGTTTCCTAAATATAAAGTTTAGAAATCGGAGTCATAGGTCGGAGGAGTCGGAGAGAGACACTGTAGGATTAGTATATTCCCTCGCGGAGGGATAAAATAATGGTTACATGGGTTGATGAAATTTGAGGACCAATATCTAATCGAGGGGGCTTGGAGGAATAAAATAAAAGAGAAATGGATTGTACAGGGGCGTTGGGTACAATTGAGAGGGTTCAGAAGTTAAAGGGCATGGTTACAGTGAAATTGAAGATCATGTCGAGAGTTAGGAGGTTAAATGATTTTTTTCATAGGATCAATTGTGAGTGTAGGGAGAACCTGGAGAGGTTAAGGCCCAGGGTAAGATTGAGGGATTAAGGAGGAATAAAAAAGAGTAGTGCATTTGGGGGCATGCATGATTGAAAAGTAAGGGAAGGGGGGAGGGGGGAGGGATAAAAAACGATAATATATGAATACAAATATGAACTTAGAGATTAAAAAACAAAATATCTAATATTCGGATAAGCCTATTCTAGTTATTTTAGTTTACTTTTAATCAAACAAATTATGTTTATTTTTTACCCTCATTTCCGTTGCAGGCGGGGTACTTTGATTCAGAGGATCCATCTAAATATTCAGAAGAAATTTATGTAGGGAGCCAAACAATTATTAAAATCTATAGCAAAGAAAGCAAAGAAATGATTTATTCTAAGTAAAAAATAAATATTTATTTCTTTAAGAAACCGGGATTCCCAGAGATCCGGACAAATCCGGTTTTAGCCGGTTCAACAAGACCCGTATCGACTTTCTCCGTATTGTAGTGTTGGTATTTTTCTTCTGAATAACAATTGGATTATTTAGCTTACACGCAATAATGTTGCAACTTGATAATTTGTAAGGAGAGGGCAAATACAAAACAAAAGAATCTGGAACATTAAAATCACAGTTTTCTATTAAATTGTTTTCAGAGAACAAGGGGAAAAATAGTTCCAAAAAGTGATAAATTTTCAAGACCAAAACAGTAATTATTTTAATAATTTTTTATTTTTATTTTAATAATCTATTTTTAAACACTAATTATTTTATTAATACTTAGTGGACATTTTCTTTTACCTAAAGTAACTGACTAATAACTTTAATTCTAATTTTCAAGTTCCTATATCTTTCTAACTTAGACTATTTGATTTAACAGAATTTATAGTAAAGCAAAATGGACTAGTCAGGTTGCAATTATATAATATTTAGAAAATTAAATATGGAGAAAACTTTATTCGTTATATACCAACATTTGTATAATTTTTCAAAAATTAAGTTCGGAATCTAAATATATACTTTGCTTGTCTGTTTTCTTTTGTCTGTCTGTTTGTTTGCATCCATTAAACGTCAAAACAGCTAAACCGATCGAGTCCAAATTTTTTGTGGGGTCTCATGTTCCTAGGGAAAGATGATAGAATTTTTTAAAAATTTGTCTAACAAAATTCGATTTTTGAAAATTCTAAGAATCCACAAGTATTTAATAAAATCCGAAAATTTTGTTGTTGTTTTTGTTTTAAAATGTACAGTGAGAAAATAATCACAATGGAAATACTAGATGGGCGCGAAGCAAATTTTTCCATAGTTTTGATACTTTTTGCTCAAAAGTTTATTAATTAATCCTAAAATTATGTTATAATTAACCCCTTAAAAAATTCCTAACTTCGTGGGGGGGGGGTCATTTTCAAGAGAGGAGGCGTGATTTTTAAAGAAAATATACACCCCTAATAGGTTTTTATAATTTTGTTTACCCGAGTGAGGAGAGCGTGTTCAGGGACGGATACTAGACCAGGTCCTCCAGCTCCTCCATCTATCGGAGTAAACTGTAACCTTGAACTCGGAGCAGGTTCAGATTTTATCTCACTTGGATCAGGTTTAGATATATCATCCCTTGGATCAGGTTTAGATATATCATTCCTTGGATCAGGTTTAGATATAAAATCAACCCTTGGATCAGGTTTAGGTATATCATCCCTTGGATCAGGTTTAGATATATCATCCCTTGAATCAGGTTTAGATATATCATCCCTTGGATTAGGTTTAGGTATATCATCCCTTGGATTAGGTTTAGATATATCATCCCTTGGATTAGGTTTAATTTCGATGGTGGGATCTCCCTTAGTAGGTTTAGATTCATCACTTTGATTAGTTTTCAAATTATCATGCATTGAGTTAGGTTTAATTTCAAATTCAGTATTATCATAAATATCACTGGTAATTTCAGGTTCAGAATCTATCATCTTTCCGAGATCAGCTAAAATCTCATAATGTTCATAACTATTTATTTTGCATTCACTGGCACTAGTATTATCACTTTGGGAACTGAATTCTTGTTTAGATTCGAGATTAGGATTAATATCAGGATCAGGATCAAGAAACGGATCAGGATCAAGCAAGGGATTAGATTCGACATTGATGGGATCATTTGGATCAATTATTCCCTTTGTAGGATCAATTCCTAGTATTTCATAAGTTGGAAGCTCTTCTGCTGTACACTGCACATGATCGTGTACAGATAATCTGTGTACAGGGCTAAGGGCTGTACATTCTGTTTCAAAAGTTTCCATGTCTAACCTAGCTTGCTCCAAACTGACTTCAAGTTTGTTTTCAACTGAAACAAAACTGTTGAAGAATTGAGAAAAAAACCAGTTTATTAAAGATCGAACGTAAAAAAAACATTTTTAATTCAACTGCATGATATCATCTTTGTAAAGTAGCACTCCTAAAATCTTAAAATTATATTTTAAAATTGAATTTTTTTTTAAGTTTGGAAATCAAGTGTAGATTGTAGAACGTGAGTTTAAAGGTTTGAGGAATCCATTGTTTGAAATTTGGGCCATGGGACTACCCCCCCCCTCTCCTCTCCCCGACCTACCTTCTATACCGAGTGGCCGAATACCATTAAAACTATTAGGCTCCATTCTTATTATCTGAAAAAAGTACGATATATTTGGATTTTTCATATCAGAGGGCGCAAGTGGGCATTTTTTTTTTGGGGGGGGGGATTTTCGTAGTTTTTTTTTTTAAAATACCATCGGGGTTAAGTGCTGTAGTAAGAGAGAAAAAAAACTTCAGAAAAAAATCTATATCTAAGAAATTAAGTCTTTGCCAAAAACTGAAATTTTCTAATGACTATATCCTTGCAACCTGGCGGTGTAAACCTTTAATATTAAACTTAAATTTTTTGATCTCACAGAACTTTTTGTTTGAAATATTTAAGGTCTACGAAATTGGATTGCAAAAATATAAGTAGTAGAATATGAGTGTTTGTGACGAATACAAATTCAAATCTTGAATTATTAGTTTATTTAATAAAGTATTCGCTTACATATATGTATATATATATATGTTAGAGCTATAGCTGGCCAAATGAACCGAATTGGCTGAAATCTTTGAGGGAAATCATGGATACCCTAGGGGGTAATATAGGCTAAAAATGTTATTTTTTTAATAGAAATGTTTTTTTAAATTAATTTTTTTCTTCAAAATTGGATTTTTAGAATCTTCCACGGGCAACACGGGGCACTTAAGCTTGTATGAATTAAAGAACTATCATCAACTGGTGAATATATCAACCACGAAATTAACCAAAATAATAAAAGTGTTCTTGAAAGGATTTCGTTGACTCCCAAATATAAAAGCTACTTTTATATGTTGATCAAATTTTTCATAGGCCCTTTTTTAAGGATTCATAATAATTTTTGTTAATTTTGATTTGAGTTTGGGAGAAAGAATACGCAATTTTATCAATTTTGAATTTTTCTGTTCTATACTTTATCCTATCTATCTATAAGACCAAACTTTTTAAAAAGTATGTTTTTCCATTTTCTTCGTATCTTAATATTGAAAAATGCTATTAATTTGATTATTTTGTTTTTCTTGGTTCTATTTCTTATATCGAGAATATCTGTAAGGACTCAATACTAGTAAAATGTTAAAGGGACTGTAAGCGTGACCCTCCATGCAAAGATGACAATGCCCGATTCACAACGGTACCCTTAAAAGCTTTTTCTGATCAAGTATGAATAATCGTTTATAATTTCAAAAACTCCTTATTTTCAACTGTGGGGTCTCTACAAAAGTGATTTGCGCATTTCTACTTTTGGAGAAGATATAGAAATCATCAAAATTAAACACTTTCAAACATAGAAAAAACGACAATATCTTCCACATTATTGATCAGAAAGGTTTCAGGGTATCGTTCCTTTAATAAAATGTTTTGATTTCAAATATAAAGAAAGCTAGCAAAGGGGCCCGGCGTTGCCCGTGGAATTTTTTTTTTGAAAAATAAGAAAAAATTTCGAATGTCTTGTTTTATTATATGCAAGACTAGCTGTAGGACCCGGCGTTTTTGAAAAAAAATTTTTTTTTTTTTTTTAAAGCCTATGACACCCCCGGTCACGTCTACCCATGAGTGTCCTCAAAAAATGTCAGCCCAATCGGTCCATCCATTTGGCTGGCTATACGCAACATATATACGAATGTCATGTTTTATTAGATAGATATAGATTATAGTTTATGGTAACAGAACTGATATCTTGTTTCAAACACTAATTTTCCCCAACATTTGTAGCAAACGTAAGGTCCTTAGGTTGCAAAGAAATAAGGTTTATTGTTCTCCAGAACGAAATATGAGAAAAAAATTTTCTATGGCTAGAATATTTACTGAAGAAAACAATGAAGTTCAGAAATACACAGAAAATCACGTTTGTGAATTTTGAATATTAAAATAAATAAAACATAACAAACATTCAGAATAAAAATAGATGATTTTAATTAGTTCAGATATAAAGTATATTATTTAAAATTCGGTGATGGTGATGGACCAACTAAGAATAAAAAAGTAGACGTTAGTTCCACATTTATTGAAAATATATTTCGGTCTGGGTTGACCCTTTGTCAGTTCTAACTATATAATAACCATCAAAATCTATAAAAAATTGTTAAAAACCACAAGAAAATAAACAATCTAGAAAGATGATTTAAAAAAAATTGGGCTGTCAAATGGACAAAAGGGAAACGAACTCAGATCATGAGATGGAAAAAAGATAATTTGCAAATATTCTCTTTTTGAAAAATGTTTGATGACAATTATTATTCCTTGAGATTGTTTCTGTTTAATTATTTACAACTACTTTACAGGGAAATTAAGGGAAGTTTACTTTACCAAGGATTCCCAAGACCGATCTTGCCAACAAAACATCCAGAGCGAACCCGTGGTTAAGTTAAAATTTTAATTTCCTGAAAATTTCGCAGAGCGGTTGCAGTTATTTCACATAATTGCCGAAAGGGACGTTAAGTAACTTAACCTTCCTCTGTTGGTAGATAAAAAGGCGGATAAAAAGTTAATCAGAGGTTTGAACTTTTGTTTGAATATTGTTAATCTTGATGATCTTGAAATCCAATGATGGTACTTTTAAATTTTAAAATAAATGCTTAATCTTTCATTTAAAATTATCCCTGAAAGCAATTGGAATAATCCTGCATATGATGGAGATCAATGCTTGGTACAAAGATTCAAAACACAAAAGTACTGAATTACAGATCATTTTTGTTAATAATAGGTTTTTAGAAATTTATAAAATTTAAAAGAAGGACATTTTTATAATTCTATTAATTAAGTTTCTAATTGATGAATGAAACAATTCAAGACAAATTCTGAAAAAGATATAATTCAATATACCAATTACTTTTTTCTAGACTCATATTTCATTATTCTTCTTATGATATTAAGATACCTACACATTAGTGACGCGATTTTTTTGGACCCCTCACGCACCGGGGGTAGGGGGGATGGAAGTAAAGTACTTGAATCCCTTTTTGAAAAACTTGGTTCCTTCCTGGTGATGTCAAACTATTTCCGGTCTAAATCTGTATGCATGATAGCCGGAAATTCTGTAAAAAGTATAATATATGTCTCGATCAATGGAGTAGGAGGCTGAGCATATTCAGCAACCTACTCCCATCGTAATTCTGTACTTTGTTCGCAAGATACCAGTCCGTCGATAATATATTACACTTTTTACAGAATTTCCGGCTATCATGCATACAGATTTAGATCGGAAATATTTTAACACCACCAGATAGGAACCAAGTTTTTCAAAAAGGGGTACTTTACTCCCCCCCCCCGTGCGGGAGGGGTCAAATATAATCGCCCCACACCTTAAGGATAAAAGTCTATAATGTATTATAGAAGGATAAGCAGAGCATTTGTATGCGTAAGTGTTTTGTGTAATTTGTTTGTCTGCGTCTCTGTTTGTTTGTCCGATCATAACTCATGAGCCTATGGACTGATTTGCCTCAAAATTTGATTGGGGAACTCAGGAGACCCACGGCAATGGTCTTAGCTTGGTTTCCTAAATTTCTAAGTTGAGTGGGTAGACTTAAATAGCGAAAACGTAGTTTCACGGTAAATCGTCAAGTAACCTTGGCCAGCGCTGCAGGTTCCCAAGCTATAGTGCTATATAAAGTAGTAATCCATGTTTGATCCCCTGGATCGGTTTGCTTCAAATTTTTATTGGGGAACTTGGTAGAACCACAGGAATGTTTTTAACTTGGTTTTAAGATGCTAACTTGGTTGATTCGACTTTTACCGAGGAAAGTAGCTAAAATCGTAATTTAAGACCAAGAGCGGGTAAACGGCGGGAGTTACAATGAGTACTCTGGGCAACGCTAGTGTTATATAAAGTAGTGATATGTGTTAGTGTGTCAGGTTAATTGTTTGTTTGGATGTCCAATCATAACTCATGAACCCCTAGACCGATTTACCTCACATTTTGATTAGGAAACTCGATAGGACTACAGGAATATCCTAAGCCTTGTTAAAAAGTTCTCAGTTGAGTGGGTTGACTTTTATTGTGAAAACTCCAGACATAGCTAGCTTTCCTAGTTAGTATTTAATGAAATGAAACTGACACAAAATATTCCAATCAATCATGAAGGTAAAAGCAGACAGACCACATTTTAAAATTCAGAAATCAAGGGAATATTCTTAATTCTTAAACGATATTCTTGGTTTTTGATAGATTCCTTTTACAAATAAATGTTACGTGGAACGAAGACGATTAATTCCCATGTTTACTGAGACAACCTGTGCTATAAAAGAGCCAGTTTACTGGGACACCCTGCACTAAGAGAGAAAGTTTACTGAGACACACTGCACTAAGAGAGCGGGACACCCTGCACTAAGAGAGAAAGTTTACTGAGACACACTGCACTAAGAGAGCCAGTTTACTGGGACACCCTGCACTAAGAGAGAAAGTTTACTGAGACACACTGCACTAAGAGAGCAAGTTTACTGGGACACCCTGCACTAAGAGAGCAAGTTTACTGAGACACCCTGCACTAAGAGAGCCAGTTTACTGAGACACCCTGCACTAAGAGAGCCAGTTTACTGGGACACCCTGCACTAAGAGAGCCAGATTACTGGGACACCCTGCACTAAGAGAGCAAGTTTACTGCGACACCATGCACTAAGAGAGCAAGTATACACTGGGACACCCTGCACTAAGAGAGCAAATATACACTGGGACACCCTGCACTAAGAGAGCAAGTTTACTGAGACACCCTGCACTGAGAGAGCAAGTTTACTGAGACACCCTGCACTAAGAGAGCAAGTTTACTGAGACACACTGCACTAAGAGAGCCAGTTTACTGGGACACCCTGCACTAAGAGAGCAAGTTTACTGAGACACCCTGCACTGAGAGAGCAAGTTTACTGAGACACCCTGCACTAAGAGAGCAAGTTTACTGAGACACCCTGCACTTAGAGAGCAAGTTTATATACTTGGAAACCCTGCACTAAGAGAGCAAGTATAATGGGACACCCTGAACTAAGAGAGCAATTATACTGGGACACCATGCACTAAGAGAGCAAGTATAATGGGACACCCTGCACTAAGAGAGCAAGTATACTGGGACACCTTG